AATTTCCTTGGTTGTTGAGGCATTGAAAACTTCTAGAAGGTTCCAACACGGCCTTTCCAATTTCCTTTTTAATTTTTTAATTTATTGTTTTTCTTTCCTTTGGTTTTTTAAATGGTCGTGTTTGTAAGAAAATTGGGATTTTCAAACAAAGTGAAATTTTAGAAAAACATCAAAAATTCAAAAACATATTCAGGATTTTTAAAAAGCTATAGGTCTTCCTGGAATGTTATAAAAGTTTGAAATTTTAAAAAAGCTATAGGTTTTTTATATAAATGTGCATTTTTAACTAAAATGTTCATAATTTTTAAGCGATGAATCACAATATTTTTAGAAACTATTCAGTTTTGTTTTAATTTATGATTTTAACATTTCCTACTGCAGATGTTTTTCCTAGAAAACTGGCTAGAAATGGCCCTGGTATAGAAAATGGTTATAGTACATGGGCTGGCCTAAATTATGCGTCATGTGCGAATGGGCTGAAATATAGCTTTAAACAGGGACGGCCCACCACAGCATCACCTCTACCGTTCGCTCTGGTGGGCCGGCCCAAAATATTTATTTTTTCAAAGCTTTTATCTACAGTGCATTTACTAAAACAACAACAGTGCATACTCGGTTTGGAAACCTTCCATTCGGTTTAGGTATGTTCCGACAATTTATGTTCTCTGCTGGTTTTAATTCGTTCATTTTCTGTTTTTATTAACGTTTTCTCCTTTTTCTATTTCTTTAGTTTTCATTTTTTCTATTTTTCAAGTACATGTTAAATTTTTTGAAGTCATGTTGCACAATTTAATATACAGGTTTAACATTGTTTGGATACACTCTATTGTTTCTCAAATGCAGTATATGTTAAACATTTATCCCAATACATATAGAACATTTGTCAAATGAACATTGAACATCTTTTTTGACTATGTACATTGAACATTTTTCAAATGCACAACAAACAATTACTAAACACACACTGAACATTTTTCAAAAATTTCATTAACTTCTCTAAAACGTGGTACATGTTTTAAATGTTATTAACATTTGTTAAATAAGAGGTGAGCATTTCAAATACACAATGAAGATATTTAAAACATACATTTTTAACACTTTTTAAAACATATGTTGAACATATTTCTAATACATGTCAAATACTTTTATAATACATGATTAGTGAGATTCAATATGTTTAAAACTTTTTAGATACACAGTGAAATTTTTTGGAATACACTATGAACATATTCTTTAATACACGACAATGATTTTTGTAAACACATGATGAACATTTTTCAAAATATTATGAACATCTTTTAAACTTCATGAGTATTTTTATGAATGGTAAGAACATCTTCTAAATATCATGAACAAATTTTTGAACGTGTGAATATTTTTTTGAATATAACTTTTATTTTTGTATGAATATTATTTATAAATATCTTGGAAGCTACAAAAACAAGTGTAAATCACCGTTGGTACCCCAAAAAAACAAGAAAACATAGCCAAACCAACGCTATGATGGAATGAACCAATCAAGACGCACAACAGACCAATCAAGATGCTAAACTTGGGCCTGACCCGTTTAACCTGCGTTCTAGGCGAGCACTCTTGCGCCCCGCAGCAAGCGAGATCAGGACGCTCCCCATGAGCGACAAACTAAGGGGCTCTCCAAAAACCGGTGCTGAGAAGACGGATTTTATAGTGTCCTGATAGGGTTGCTCACTTTACATTTGCGCCTCCTTGTTCCTTGGTAGCAGCAATCAGCAGGCCCATCTTGCTTCATGTTTTGGAGCCTCATATTGAAGAGAGATACATCGACCTGACAGAAACTGTAAAGAGAATAGAACCCTAACTTAAATCCAAAAGACTCAACTAAGAAGTAGAATTACAATCAAGACCGAAGAATCACCTGAGCTTGAAGCCACCATCTGTCACCTGCCTCCGGCAGGGCCGGTCCTGAGATTTTGGGGGCCCGGGGCGAGATTAAAAGTCGGGGCCCTTAATATGGATGTCATAACATAAAAATGAATATACATATATATGAAATATTGATCGATAACACTTAAATGCATCTAAATCAGTATGCATATAAAATAATTTATACATATTACCTTAAAAATTTCTTCTAACAATCCTCGATGCAAAGTCAATTATGATGGGGTTGATGTGAATATGATCCAATAATTTCTTCTCGATGCATAATGTTGCCAAATCATTTATCCTCTCTGAACCATTGTTTACCTCAGATAGTTCTTGGTAATTTCAACTTTGTAAGCCAGTCACGTGCATAGTAAATAAGATGGGGTAGGCAATGGAGATATTAGGATAACATACAACTTCTTGGACATGCTCGAAAATCTCCATATCAGACATTACACCATCTGGCAAAGTTAATCTTATAATCTTCAACTCAAAAATAAGATCATATACCTCAACATCTCATGTACCATCAAGAGAGAAAGTTTCTACAAATTTTGTGCGATACTCTTCAAGTTCAATATCATGCAATGATTTCAGAGTGCCCGAGCTCAATAATAATCCGAAAATATATCTTTAACCACCACGAGTTCTCTAAATCTACTTTTCAAAAAAGTGATCGCCATATCAACCAAAATAAAAGAAATATTTAACTTGAAAAGCCTTCTCAACTTCCAGGGTTTCTTCTTGATAATCACTTTCATCATAAATATTTCCACACTGTGATTGTACCAAGTCAGCCGCAACTTTCTTCTTTTCTTTATTCGCTACCAGATGGATATAAAAAAAATACACCAATTGACAATTGTTGAACAGTGCCGATGTGTTGGCTATTCATCTAGGAGACTAGGAAGTAGAAACCGCAATATGAATATAAGATATAAGATATACCTCAGAGGATCGAATTGTCGATGGATGAGCAAAGCGAGGTTGCGCCCGCCGCCGGGGAATTGAAATCGGCTGACGACCTGACTGAATTAGGAAGGAAAAATCGATTTAGGGGGAAAAGGGAAAAAAGGGCCATGCGCACAGTCGCGATTAGCCAAGAGACAAGCGTCGGCGGCCGGCCGCTGGCAAATTGGAAAGTGCAGCGTGAATGCGTGCGTGATGAATGGAAAGGGATCAATCAGTTCCTTCTTTCTCTACGTGCATGTACTAACCTAAGGAACGAATTGGAAGGGATCAATATGTTCCTTCTTTTTCTACGTGCATGTACTAAAATGAAACGAATCTATCCCTGGCTCATCCTGCGTGACTCTCGCTGCGTGCGTACGCTCTTTTGGGCCATAGACGCCTTCTGTATGTACCGGGGAGGGGCCCCTCGATTTTGGGGGCCCGGGGCGGCCGCCCCCCCTGCCCCTCCCCAGGGCCGGCCCTGACCTCCGGCACCACCACAGCAGCCACTGAAGGAAAAGAGAACAAAACAATTGTTCATTCACGTTTAATGCGACCCCATCATTGATCTATAACTTTTGAGACTTCCAAAGTGGCTTGCCAAAGGTGAAGCCATGTAGTTGAAAAATCTAGCCAGGGCGGCACCTTGGACATGCCATATAACTTCAGATTTGGCACCCCCACGCGACGGTGTCGAATGAGGAAACCTGAACTGTCTTCAACCATGAATTCACCGTCTTCTAGCTATCAAAGACGTTGATCACTGTCGGCACGCGCTCTTGAACAACCACATGTGCTTCGGGCCGACAGCAGAGCGAACGTTGCCGTAATGACAAAGCATGAGGACACAATCCACCACAAAGGATGCCGCCGCAGCCACACCATACCCACTTGAATAGACTAGCACACAAATCCATCACCTACCATACAGCAGAACACCATGTAGAGGACGGATCTGGAGCTTCATTAAAGTGGACTTCTCTCAACATGAATTGTTTGACAATATGTTATTTGGTTGAGTTTTTGTTATTGTCGGAAAGATATGTGTGACTATATGTTAATTGGTTGAGTTTTTTATTGTTGTTGGAAAGTTAACTAAATAGTACATAAATATATTCTTCCATCACAGAAGGATTACTTCTTCAATTTTTTAAAGCTCTTCACATTTTCTAAAATCTCAAATGGTTGTATTGTTTATAAAAGAGAAATGTATTTTTTTGCCAATCAACTATTTTAAAACTATAGAAATGATCCCTTAACTCCAAAACATCAAATTTCACTCCCTTAACTTTCAAAACACGACAAGTTTAGCCCCTCGTGCCCCCTCGGGTGGTTTCTTGCTAACATGGAGTGGATTTGACTCCAACTACGTGGGACCCTCCTATCAGTGGCGGAAGGAGCCACGCAAAATATAGTGCACCGAATGACCTCAAAGGCTCGAGCTTAGGACCTTAGGTACCGGTATTTGAGTTTCTGCCACAGACAGGCATGTCCCACATAGTTCAAGCCAAAAACCACTCCACGGCAGCAAGAAACCACCTGAAGTGGCACGAGGGACTAAACTTATCTGATTTTAAAAGTTTAGGGACTAAAGTTTGCTGGTTTGGAGTTGAGTGACCATTCCTATACTCTCGAAAGAGTTGAGGGATGAAAAATAAACATTTCCCTTTATAATTCCCTAGAGAATGCTTTCGCCTAAAACCCTTTACATACCAACATGAGGATTATAAATTTATAATTCCCTAGAGACAACACTATGATTATCATAAAACCATTTCTCAGAGGAGCATGCTTTTGCCATACAATTATGTACGCTTTGACAGTAACATTGGAGGATACTTTACATGAATGAAGGGAGGGGGAGAAAAAAAGAACAGAAAATCAACCTCAGATTACAATTGCATCAGTTGATGCCGCCGCTAGTGTACAATTAACAATACACAATTGCAATGATGGTGCCCATTATCCTTTTCACAGGGCTTCCTTCCCAGAATCCTTCTATCTGTAGCAATATTTGGCCAGATGAACAACCGCGCTGCGACGCACGACCAAATAATCTGTGCATACGGGTCATCTGTCTGCCATTGCCAGGCAAAGAAATGGCACGAGAGAGAAAGAGACTACAGGTGATGTCATGTGTTTGCCTATGATCCACTCTCAATTTCGTTGCTGAACGGTAACCGATCGACACCCCTCTCGACTGCATCCCTCCATAGCCGATACCGGATGCCGAGCTTGTCATACGACACTGGCCAGTTCCAAACGTTAGCTCCATTGTTCATTCGGTCTTGTTGGCCGAGCACAAGCCGCAGATCCTCATTCAAGACCTGCAAAAGATCGTGAAATATTGCCATTGTCAGAACAGTTAGACACGATTGTTGAAACCAATTCAAGTCCCGTCTGACTTAGTTTGCAAATGACAGTTATAGCTGTCATGTTGACTTGTTATAGTTATGAAGAACTAAAACCACGACAATAATTATTGAACGGAGGGAGTGTAGCCACAAAATTTGGGACTTGCCTTCTCAGCGAAATGTGACCACAACAGGTGCATGAAAGGCATGTGCTTCATCCAGGGTGCGAAGTCGAGAGACATCCGGTACAACAGCCTGGTTTTATTCGTCGATGAGGGCAAGCATACATGGAGCTGGTGGAGATGCGTTGCACATTGTTGGGTGCTCTTCCCTTCTAGCTTTCCAGGCTTGGAGATGCCAATGGTTGACAAGACCATGCAGGGCGGTCGGAACTCCATATCGATGGGATAAGGATCCCAGTACCCTTGGAGCCCAGATGTAGGTGTCAAGAACTTCACAAAGCTGAGAATAATAACACAAACTCAACATGTTGGTTTGTACAGACATAATATGACCATGGATAGAAAATTGTTCCTTCATCAGCCAGGTCTACTACTTGGTGCCATAAGATGTATAGAAATACCTTGGAACACTCCAGCCCTTGGCAAAGGTGGATGTATGAGTAAAAGGGGCATGAGCGAGGTCTAGTAGATTGTCCAAGAGAAGTCCATGTTCCACCGGTAGCTCCATCACTATCTGTTCAATGATCAAGAAGAATACTCAGTCCAGTCCAGAACTGAAATATACAGGACACCTGGACAATAGCACAACTGCTACAGCATCATGATGTTCTTTACCTCTGCATGGATTGTAAACCCTGAAGGGGGCAGCAAGGAAGGGATGGTGGGTGTAGGGGTGTCATCGCCGGGCCAGATCCAGACCATTCCTTCTTGCTCGAAGCACGGCAATGCCCGGATGCGCACGTTGAGCATCTTTGTTGATGGCATTTTCTCGCATTTTCCGTCAGTCGAATACTCCCACCCTGAAGGTTGTTCATAGAAGATGCAATATTACTTGGACATCATCATTTAAATGTCACAACACTAATGAGCATAAGAAACCTGACTGAACAAAAAATTGCTCCAAGTTCTTACCATGGTAAGGGCAAGTGATTCTACCCTCATTCACTGAACCAAGATCAAGAGGGCAGGCTCTGTGAGCACATGTATTCTGCACACATCCAGGCCTTTTATCTTTTCCGCGGAATATTACCCACTGTTCCTCGAAACAATCTATGGGCACCTGAGAGCACACACACAAACTTGTCAAATAAACACATGTATCTAAGACCGCAAACTATCAATTAGCTTTGAGACAGGCATTTTGCTCTACCATTGTGTCATCCTTCAGGTCACTGGAAAAAGCCACCGGGTACCAGAAGTTCTTCAGATTGGCACTGTAAGGCTTGACAGGGCCAGAAATGTTGAGACTGCGACGCTTCGGTTTTTTAGCTCCGAGTCGGACCGTGGAGGAAGTGCTCGTAGTTGTATCAAGAGAAGTACTCGGATCAAGAGAAGCGCAATCGGCCGTGTTTGCGAAAGCGCTCCCATCCGACAACAGCCTCTCATTGACCACCGTCTCCATTTGTGCTAGCTTATCGAGGGCCGACGACACTCTGGATTCCGATAAATAAAGCTGTACGATGTACAGTTAACAGTGAGGTTCCATACAGGTATGCAAGGTCTTTATCAGGATTCTTCCGAGTTCCGACAACAAATATACCTGGTTGTGAGCCTTTGCCAGTTCCTCCTGTAGACCGTCAAGGTCTTTCCTCAGGTTCCCAACCGACTTGAAGTCCCTCGCTAAAGGGTTAAGAACCTCCACCACCTGCATTCCATTTTGCACAATTCAGGTTATATATAGTCCACAACTACTAGTTTCATCCACAATTTCAACCTCAGGCATCTATCTAATATCCATTGATCATTTATTTATGCCTTAATCTAACCAGTAGTACTCATTGTGAAATTCAGTAAGTGCAGACTGAGACATTTCTATGAACTTACTACTACAGTACTACCTACTATCTACCATTATACGTAAGTTAATTTCAACATCAAACATATATCTAACATCCATTGTTCCATATATGCCTTACCCTGATCAGTACCAACCATGGTGAAATTCAGCAAGTGCAGACAGAAACATTTCTCTGAACTTTTTTTCAGGTAACATTTCTCTGAACCTACTGCAAGTACTAGCTACCATTATTCAGAGTTCAGAACATATTTTTCATACCTTGTTGTGAAGCACCATGATGGTGAGCAGGTCCTGCCGGGCCCTCCAGTCACAGTACTGGATGTCGAAGCGGACGACGTCGAGCGCCTGCTTGGCCTCCAGGTACTGGCCCTTCTCGATCGGAACCCTTGGGCCGGGGTCATCGACATGGAACAGGGCCTCCCAGTGGTGGTTATCCTTCAGGTAGTCGGCACTATCATCCCTGAGCACCGCGTACACCTTGATTCCGCCATATCTGCCAACTCCCTGCACCACAGTTTCGACAAAAAGAGAACCATCATGAGTTACTCAGTTCACCATGGTGGGTGGGGTGCAGTTCGACCAGCAGAGAACTGGACAATTTGGGGATACACTAGAAATTCAGAAACTCTGAAGAAGTTTCGGGATAATTTGTTCATGGAGAGAACTGACCTTTCGGGAGAGGCAGCGGAAGGAGGGCTTGATGAGCAGGTGCGGCACCAGGGAGAGCGAGGCCACTGTGGTCATGGACGCTGCCGCCGGCCGCCGTCGAGCAGCGGGAAAAGAGGGATTTTTTCGGGGTCCGGGGAAATTCCTATATCTCTGTTTCTCGGAGAAGGAAGAAGATGTGAGCGTGGAATGGATATTTTTGCCGGAAATCAGTCGATTTTTCGCGGCTGAAGTGTGCCTGACGCCTCGCGACGATAAGGGGAGGGGGCTGCCCGCGATCTCCACGAGCCTCCCGCGTGTTGCCACGTGGGAGCCGGCGTCCGGGCTCCGGCCATGATGTGGAGGCCTCCGCCACCACGCAGACTTTTGGACCCAGTGTTTCTTGCTGGCCCGGGACAGGAAATTATCAGCAAGGTACTTCTACTTTCCTTTTATTTCTTTTTTGAGTTGAAAGACTTCTACCAAAAATCCAATCGGCTCTTGGGAGCATATGCTTCTGCCCGTCAAAAATGTTTTTTGTAATGTCAAAAAATAATAAAAAAATTAGATGTATTTATTGTCGCACCCAAATGGTACCTGCAATTATTTAGTGAAAAAACTTAAACTATTTGACCAGTGCGGCAAAACATATCGAACGCCAAATATTACCTTCAAATGCTACACTTAATTTTGTATTTTTCACCAACGAAGCATCGGTATCCCGTTTTACATGAAAATTGTCAAACACACTTGTTAGTATACCTGGCCATGGGGAACCCGGCCCGGCCCGGACGCTGCTCCCGGGCTGGGCTCGGGCCTAGATTTTGAGCCCGATGGCCGGGCCAGGCCCGGACCCGTCATATTTGCGATTTCCTGAAGGGGCCTGGCCCGAGGCCAGAGGCCCGTCGGGCTTTTGCGTGTTCGGGCCTGGCTCGGGCCTAAAAACCAGGCCCGATGGCCGGGCCTGGGTTTTTTGCCTCGGGCTTGGCTAGGCCCGGCCCGGCCCGAGGTTTGGCCAGGTATACTTGTTAGACTAACATGAACAGCCAAATAAAATCAGTTTTTTTTAAAAAAACTCACTATTTATTTTGAATTTACTGTTCATCAGGGAGTATATGCTCCCCAGAGCCAAAACTTTTACTACTTTTCTTGACACAGTACAATCACATATACCTACATACACTCACCTCTTCGGACGCACGAACACATCCCATTTCTATTACCTCCAAGATAATGAGCTGGCATCACATCTTGATATTGACCGCCAGCGCAAGCGCCTCGTAGTCAAGGAAAACATCTCCTCCTATTAAAGGAACATCCACAGGAAACTTAAAATAAATCCAGCAAAGTTGCAAGTACCAGTGCCAAGTCTAGGAATAGAACCTTGGTGGACTGGTTCCACCAAAAGGAAGCTAGCCATCTGGGCTACACTCAGTTTGCGACTTCTACTTTCTGAGACATGTGTTGTGTAGTAAGAGCATCTCTTTTCTTTTTTAAAAAGGAGGATAATACTAGCCACTCCATTAAATTACAGACATTATGGTAGCTACTTAAGGACAAAATAAAGCTCTCCAAAATGTGTCTTAACTTTAAGAGTGACCTCACCCAGCCGGTTTCCAAACAAATTTAACTATATTAGTAGGTGGAGGTAGGTCAAAAATCATATGGATCTTATGCCAAAGTAGGGTCGCAAATAAATAAACAATAAAAAGATTATGTACCTAGTACTTCCCCTATAGCTACAATCTCACAAAAGTTTGAGGAGTTATCCCTCAAAACTTGCCCCTTCAACACAAATTTGCTCTGAAAAGAGGCATTTTTGGTAAAGTTGAGCTCTACGTCCCTGTCCTGTATGCATGACGCGAACATTGGCTCGGTGCTCGATTCACCCCTATGCCTCTATAAATCCCCGCCGACACATCTCCAAACCCTGACCTACCTCGCCGCCTCCCATTTTCCCACTAAATAGAGGGGGGTTGAGTCGTCATCGCTGCCGCTATCTACCACGAGCTCCCCGTCCACCCAACGCGTCATGAGCCACCTCGAGCCTCATCCATGGTCCGCTCGAGCCCCAATGTCTCGGCATTGCTCTCCACCGCGCGCCGGACCGAAATCACAGTTGAGGCCGCATCCATTGTCGCCACGCGCGAGGCTACAGAGGCTACCGACACCATTTCGAGCTCCTCCTCTTCGTCAGGCAATGAGAAGGAGGGAAAGGAAGGGATGTCGGTCCCGGAACAGGAGGACAAGAGGGCGGCAGTGCGGTAGATATCATCTCATGGGAGGAGGTTGAGTGATAAT